GTACCTGCTCTTAAAGTGGGGGGCACCCTTCCTTCCCTTCGTGGTGGCATGGCGGTGATTGAGGAACGGAGTGACGGCAGTGGCGAAACATGGCAGCGGCAGGAACGGCGGTGAGGCGAGTGAGGCGAGAGGCTTGAGTGGAGATTGGGCCGGCTGGCAAAGCACGGTGGCGGGGCAACGCAGCAGGCCGGAGCCAATTTGGACAGAGGCCAGCTGCGGTAGCATGCGCCGTCGTGCTCTGTGGGTCCATACCCGGAAGGAGTTGCTGCGACCGAAAGGAAGACCTGCGCCAAAACACGCCGTCGCCCAGATTGAAGAACCTCCATAATAAACAACAACAACTAAGACCTTGCCATGGGTGCCTGATAGGTAGTCCCTTCCCCTCATTGTGTGTGTGGCCCTAGTAAGGTAATGTAATTAATAATTGCACAATGTAAACCGCTCAGAGCCCTTAGGGGGTGAGCGGTCTATAAATTGAAAGTTAAATAAATAAATAAATATGAGCAGTGTATGCTACAGCATATGCCTCTGTTTCATCCCAGCACATGGATATCACTTCTGGTTTTTCACCGGAAGTGACAGAGTGTTTTGGCACAATACCAAGGAGTCCCCTCCCCCATTTCCCCCCTGCAGTTCTATTAAGCAGCAGCAATGATGAAACAGGGGCCCTGGCTGGAAGGTCACCTGCTATAGCAGGAGATCTGCCCCTCCATATGGTAAGTATGCGGTTATTTTGTAACTGTGACTAAATCAAAGTGACTTGCAGTGCTGTCCTAAGCAGAATTACACCCATCTAAGCCCATTGACTTCAATTAATTCTGCTTTGCACTGTTGGTAACTAGGTAACAAAGAGCTAAGGATGGTTTTGTATAATTCCCATTTTTCACACTTCAACAATCTGTCTCCACGTCATGATGTGTAAACTGAAATAGCAAAGATAGAAACAAAGATTGTTAAAGCTTTTGCTAATTAATCAACAGTCTGTGATACAGATAGAGGTCAACATGCCCCCCCCCCACTCACAATCAGTTAACTAGTATATTGCAAATCTGTTCTTTTAAAAAGTAATATTGATCTTCTTCAACAAATGACTGGAATGTAGTCTGGCCAGCTTTAGAATGCCATTCATGACTGTTCAAACATGCCCTGAATGTCAGAATTCTGAAATGATCCTTCTTGGGCCACAAGATTGGTGTGGTGCAATTAAAACAAAATCCTGGTTCATACCTGGGAATACTGGGCTGTATCCTAGCCATGTTTTCCACTAGGATTGGCACACATTAGAAACTCTGTGAGGAAAGCAGGGGTCCCCAAGATGGTGCCCTTGCGTGCAACGGCACTTGTTGACACTAGGGTTGCCAACCCCCCCGGTTTGCCAGGGGTCCCCCATTTTTTGGGGGGGGTTCTACCCGCTGCCGGCTAGCCAGCCGGTGGGGGAAGCCCCGCCCCCAACACCCACAGCCACCCCTCTCCCTTCTCTCTTGCCTTTAAATGCGAATGGAACCCGTGTTTCCTCCCAAGCCCGATCTCCGCTTGAGATCAGGCTTGCAGGGAAATGCCAGCTTCGTGCACTCTTAAAGGGGAAATGCCGGTTCCTGCACTTAAAAGGGGAACACCAGCTCCTTTAAGTGCAGGGAACTGGCGTTTCTGGAGACCCAGCACGCAGGCGGGGGGGGGGGGGGACATCCCCAACGTGACATCATCACGTCGGGGATGGCCTGCCCCCTCCCGGCAAGGAATGCCCCCAAAGCCCCCCGCTGGCGGTGGAAGATGGACTTGGCAACCCTAGTTTCAAGAAGGCATCTAAATGGCCATTGGTGATTTGATTGACTGTACAGCTTTTTTAAATGTTGCTTTGGGTTTGGCCTGGCCGCAGCTGCCATCACAACAAAGGATTTTCATTGTGTGACTGAAGGTAAGCTGCAGCAGCCATTTTGTAATGTCCCCTTTGGCTATCAGACCGTTCCATTACATATATACTTATACACAATAAATATACCACACATCTTGTGACTGGCTTCACCTCCTGGGGCAGTCATTTTGTAGCAGCCATTTTGTGGCTGTGCTCACCATACTGTGTCAGAATTCCAAAGGCACCCACAGGCTCAAAAAGGGTGTTGAGATTAGCAAGTTGAAAACACTTCTGTAATTATAGAGTTAACTTTGTTTGTGTTTGTCAACAGGAAGTCACATGTTTATTGTTCCCAATCTGTTTACCATGTGAGGAAAGCCGGGAATATTCTGGGAGGTCCTATTATAATGACCTGAACTTTAGCAATGTGATTGAAAATCAGTGTATTGGCTATTTAGCAAATTGGTGTCCTTTTTTACTGCCTTTGTGTTGGAGAAGAAGAGGCGCCATTTCCTGTGTTCCTGTAGCATCTTCTTAGCAGTAAAGATGTAGGGATCTAGTGCTTAGTTATTTTGCATCCTGTTTACCTTTTCCCCATGTTAGTTTTCTAGTAAACGTTTATATTTTTACAAACATATATATGGACTCAGTGTTTCACTCATTGCTCTGCTAATTTAATCTCTGCTTAACTATATTTTTCCAAAGAACACTCATCAAAGGGTCTGGGCCTTTTCAGTTCAGAAAAAAAGATAACTAAGATTAGACATATGAAAGATTAGACATATGAAAGAAAATACCTTTATACCTAGGATTACCAACCCCCCCCGGGGGCGGAATCAGGCCCGTAGCCTCCATGGGGCCCACGGGGCCCGGCCCCCCTGCTCGTTTTGCGGGCCCCCTCCCTCGGGATCCGCAGCGACGCGCCAGCCCGCCTCCCTTCGCCCTGAGTCAGCCGCGGCAGAAGAGCGGCGGAGCTCAGGGAGGGAGAGAGAGTCCCCGCAGCAGGACCCCCTCGCCCGCGGAGCGCGGCGGCCACGCGGCTCCAGGCAGGCAGGCTGAGCAGGCGGGCCGGAGAGGCGCAGGAGAAGCCGGGCAGCAGGGTTCGGCGGGCAGGGGGGCGCGTGCACGTGCCGAGGCGCCTGCTCGCTTGCCTGGTCCCGGCTTTAAAGGAGCCGCGCGTGCGCTGGGCTGCAGGCAGGTGCCGCCGAGTGGCCTGGGCGCGGGAGGAGGGGGCGTCCCAGGGGGCTTCCCTCAGGATGGGCGCCCCCTCCTCCTGCGCCCGGGCCACTCGGCAGCGCCTGCCTGCAGCCCAGCGCGCGCACGGCTCCTTTAAAGCCGGGACCAGGCGAGCGAGCAGGCGCCTTTTACCTTTACGGTTTGCCATCGCTTTCGTCCCAAGGCTAAAAAGCTAACACTAACTCAGCTTAAAGGGAACACTGCCCCCTAACCCAGAGAGGCGACGACCCTAGATCTTGAGGGGGGTGTGGGGAGCACCTGGTCAGCCCCCGATGGTTCCTTCCGAGTGGCGGCAGGAAAGCGGGCGGGACGCGCCACCAGGGAGGCAGGGGGGCAAGCCGCCGCCGGGAATCCCTGCCACTAAGTCCGGGCGCGCGGCCCCGATCCCGCCCGCGTGCAACCTGCCCCCCCGGGTTTGCCTGCCAGCCAGGCAGCCTCCCTGGGCAGGAGGGGGCCCAAGGTTTGAGGGGAAAACTCTTTGTTTTCCCCTCAAATGGCGTGGCCCCGCCCCAGCGTCTGACGTCACTTCTGGTGACGTTCTGGCGGCGCGCGCGCGTGAAGCGCACGCGCGCATCAGAGACCGGCTCCCGGATCCAAAGGACTCTCCCCCGCCGGTAGGAATTTTCAAGTTGGCAACCCTATTTATACCCAATAAGCAATGGCATTGTGAGATTCAGAGCCAGTGACCATAGTGATGGCCCATGAGCATAGATGGATTTAAAAAGGGGGTTAGAAAGATGTGTGGAATATAGGTCCATCAGTGGCTACTAGCCTTGGTGCCTAGAGGGAACCTTTGCACACAGAGGCAGCACACCATTAAATCCCAGCACTAGCAGGCAACATCAGGGAAGGCCTTGGCTTCTGTGTCCTGTTTCTTGGTCCTCTGATTTGCTGCTGCCTGAAACAGGATGCTAGACTAGATGAACCACTGGTCTGACCCAGCAAGGCTCTTTGGTTGTTAGGGTGACTATTCATTGAAAGAGTGGGAAGATTCCTTTCCTTACTACTCTTTAACCTGACAGCATGAACAAAAGAGGAATTCAGGTACATTAAGGAGTAATTAAACTGAATTAAGTGATCTTGACTGTGGCCTATCAGACATTTTGGGAGCTGCGGTGGCTCAAGTGGTTAAGACGCTGAACTGCAGGCTGTGGAAGGTCGGTAGTTCAGCAGTTCAAGACCCGGGTGCCGCAAGACGGGGTGAGCTCCCATCTCTAGTTCCAGCTCCTGCCAACCTAGCAGTTCGAAAGCAAGAAATTGCAAGTAGATAAATAGGTACCACTTCGGTGGGAAGGTAACAGCGTTCCGTGCACCTTGGTGTTTAGTCATGCCGGCCACATGACCACGGAAATGTCTTCGGACAGCGCTGGCTCTTCGGCTTTGAAACGGAGATGAGCACCCTAGAGTCGGATTCGCCTGGCTTTCGAGCAAGGGAACCTTTACCTTTACCTTTACTTTATCAGACATTTTGCATAAATCAGTTCAAGTGGGAAGAGTCCTTTTTTCTTTGCATTTTTGTAACCCATCCAATAAGATCTAACTTCAAGATCTTTCAGTGGACCAAGTTATTTTCATACTGATTTATCCATGGCTAATTGCTAACAAGAGCAGCGCATCCACTCACAGAAATCTCTCTGTGCATTGAGATGTGCCATCGATGTCTTGCTCAGGAGGGAGAAAACTCTGCCTAGTTAAGACAAAGCTTTTTAAGCAATGAAAGCATGGCCCCCATAGCTTGTCAGCCAATTAAACTGAAAGCAGTCTGAATCCTCCATGTACATCCTCATTACAAAGAGGCCGATCAAGAAAATTGGTCTTAGGACATTCCCTAAGGGAAACCATCCTAATTATAATGTATTTTGTATATTAAAGAAAACCCTACATAGTAACAAATCATTGTGTTTCTTTCTAGGGACATGGGTCACATTTGGAGGTCAGATTTCAGATGAGGTAAGCAACGTTGTTTCATTTAACTATAATTCTCAAGCAGGATGTGGTGCCTTTTCATTTTAATTAGAAGTCAAGGCACAGATGACAGAATGAACCAAGTCTATTCCTGTCACAGGAAATGGCAAGGAATTATCTTCCAGGAGAGAAAAGATTTTGCACTCCTGGAACATTTCTGAGCATCCAAACAGTTTTAAGAACTTGGTGTTTAATGTAAAGCATCTCCTGCCTTAAAATGTACCGAGTACTTAAATTATGGAATTTACTGGACTTCACATATTGATGGCCATGAGCATAGATGGCTGTAAGAGGAGATTAGACAGATTCATGAAGGATAAGTCCACCAATGGCTGCTAGATATGGGAACTTCGATTTATTATCCCAGGCGTCCTTACATAGGCCACCCTTTCAATCACCTCCCCTGCCTTGCTCCACCCCTCTACCCCTTTACCCAACCAGAAGTGTCCTTGCAGCCCTTTTCACAGGCAGGACTTAATGACTGGTTCCACCTGGCTGCCAAACTCTTATTACTGAACCTAGAGTCTGCAGCCCCGCTCTACCTGTTCTGGGTGCTCCTTGGCAGGGCTGCTGCAGCTGCCGGTTGTGCATAGCTTCTCTCAGCCAAAATGAGTTGCTCCTGCAAGTCTGGGGCAGGTTCCGTCACTGTTCACTGTTCACAATTGAGGCCTACAGCACTGTTTGTAGTTGCTATGCAGAATGGCCCCTTGGGGCTTTGTATAACCTTGTCTAGTAACAGTTTAATCAAGTGTTGATTAATGGCATTTGATGACTGATCTTTATTCCCAGCCACAAGAAGATATATGTTGCAGTGCACCTGACTGGGTACAATCTGTATTCTGCAAAGCAGTTTTTGTGAACTGAATGTGGGCAGAAGAGGGAAAATAGATGCTGTAATCCTATGCAGGGATTACTCCAGTCTAAAACAACTGCAGTCAATGGGATTATTGGAGTAACTCTGCATGGATGCATGCTAGTAAGTCATGCAAGAAGTAGCTTGTCAGGCTCCTAAGGTGCAGAGCTGGTATTCCTTTGGACTACTTACATATGCTTTTCTGCTCAGCCAGTACTTTGGCCAAAATACAGTTCATTTTAAAAGACATGAATCTTGTAAAGAAACTGACACTGTAAAAAGCAGCCTCAGAAACTTCTTTTGTTCAGGGAAGTACAGAGCTTGAAACGGTATGTCAAACAAAAGAGCAACATTGACCAGAAAGTGCATATGATTTTTTAAAAATGTACTCTGTTTGCTTTAACAATGTTTGAAGTGCAATATTGGAAAGTGAAAGGTGTTCTTATCACCTGTGAAAACACTCCATATGGGTCTCCATGTGTATCTGAATGCATGAAGTTGCCTTACACTTAGCCCTGTTCACATGTTGCAGTGAACACATGTACATTCTGCATGTATGCATGAACACCTGTTTCTAAGAGTCATTCAATGTGTGTTCACTTTATGCATGAAACCGGACAGCATTACCTAGAATAAATGTGGGGTTTGAACGACACATTGTGCTGTACATGTGTTGAATACAAGATGAGAATTACTCAACACATGTATAAATAAAAATCAAGTGTACACAGTACATAGATAGTATGTGCATTCACTGTAACTTGTTAACAGGGATTCAAATCATTGATTACTTGCAGTTAGTTACTGTCTACTCAGACTGGCAGCAGCTCTCCAAAATCTCAGGTAGAAGAAGAAGAAGAAGAAGAGATTGGGTTTATACCCCGCCCTTCACTACCCAAAGGTGTCTCAGAGCAGCTTACATACTCCTTTCCCTTCCCCTCCCCACAACAGACACCCTGTGAGGTAGGTGGGGCTGAGAGAGCTCTTGACAGAAACTGCTCTTTTTTCAAGAACAACTCTTATCAGAACTACAGCTTGCCCAAGGTCATCCAGCCAGGTGCAAGTGGAGGAGTGGGGAATCAAACCTGGTTCTCCCAGATTAGAGCCCGCGCATTTAACCACTACACCAAACTGTGAGAGAGGTAGAGGTCCTTCACATCACCTACTACCCTGATCTTTTTAGCTAGAGGTGCCTGGGGTTGAAGTTGGGACTTTTTGCATGCAAAGCAAGTGCTCTACACTGGGTCACAGCCTTCCCATATTTGCATGTCCACTTTGCATTGAAGCTTTATAAAGCTGAAGCTAGGTTCAGGTTATACTCTTTCTGAGGACCTGTACTGATGCTCTGATTCAGCAGTGATTGAGGCATGGGAAGCTTCCCAAAGACTGCAGCAGTACATTAGTGCATTTGGATGGTTGGTGCTATGTTTTTTTAATGGTCAGTTAGAATGGCTGTTAAAATAAAACAATCATACAGCTTCATTGAACTGCTGAATAAAACCATTTAACACAGATGGACGCCTCATTCGGTCTTAAAAGCCACCAAAACAAAGCAATCATCTTTACAGCAGGAA